ATGTACATCCATCAGCAATAAAGAAGCGGTTTAAGGAATTAGCAGACATCGTTACTAAATTGTTCACGTTTTTGGTTCCCCTTTTGGGCTTTTGGGACTGAGGACGACAGATACTGGGAACAATTTTTTGACAAACCACAGCACTACTGTCACAGCGATTGTAGTTGCAGTTCTTGTGTTCTTCTTAGTATCGGTACTCCATACCACGATTCCCCATCACGTTACTCGTTTTTATCCACTCTTGCTTATGGTGTTATTGTTGATTGGATGCGTTGTCTCAAGTTTAGCATTCAGCCTTATTTCATCGAAAATCGCTAAGATAACTTTGACCTTATGGATCATTACCATTATTACCGTTGCTCTGTTTAATCAATCATGCAATATCATAGCGATTGCTTTGTTTGGTCCAATTAAGCAGTTGATTGAGAATTAGTGACCAGAGAAGTACTCTGTAATGCAGATGTGATCGTAGCAGTAGAAGGCAATGGGTGTTTATGATTCAATTTCTCAGATTGAGGACAGAGGAATTCGTGTTAGGATTATTCATCAATTCTTTGTAGTCGGCTATTCATTGAAATTTTATTTTTAATAGAAATAGATTATGTTCTGATTCAAATTTGGTGATGTATATGTAATTTCAGCTGATCTATGTATTTAGATTTAGATATAAATAATCATTTTTGTGAATTGAAGTATAGGACTTATTTCAAAAGTTTATGATGAAAAAGAATTAGTGTTATTTTGTGTATATATTTGATTAGGTTCTTTATATTCAAGTTCCTTTCAGCTAAGTGAAACTCCAACCAAGGAATGGGTTCAATTTGCAGAGGTTGAATGCAATCCACAACGTTAGACATATTCGGGTTAAGTTTCCATCTCAAAATTTTATATAATAATTAACAAAAGTGTAGTCACAGAATCATGTATCATTGATTTCTAAAAATTTTAAAACAAAAGATATAAAATTTAATTTATAAAATATTTTTCCTTATATTTTATTCATTTTTTTATTTAAATGTTATATTTTTAGTTTTTTGCAAATTTATAAAATTCAACTATAATTTACATCTATGTTTTATTTTTATTAATTATCGAATAAAATCTTGAGAAAAAATTAATTAAAAATTATGAGGACTAAATTTAAATAATTAAAATTAAAAAATTGAAATATTTACTAAAAATTTTATTAAACTTATTTTTAAAACTTTTAACTAATTTTGAGATTGATTTTTTTAATATACATCTTTTTAAACCAATAACGTAAGATTATCTTTTTAATATTTTGGAGACATCAGACATTGTTAATCATAGCTAAGAATTAAAGTTCTTCTACAGAAAAAAAAAAACGTATTGATTTATTATGAGAAAAATGGAATCAAGAGTGAAAATTATAAGAAAATATTTATGATACAATTTTATTGTTTGAAAAATAAAATTTAATACTGTCTATAATTTACATATTATTATATTTATTTTTTATATTCGTGTATGCTTAAAGCATACATCTTAAATATTAAAAAGACACCTAAAAGTATCATTTTAATAGCACAAACTACTACTTTTCTGTATGAAAAGGTTGACATTTTAATTATTTTTCTATAATTAATTGTATTTTAAGATACAAAACTTAATTTGAAAATTTTAAAAATTGAGAGATTAAATATTAAATATTAATAATTAATATTTAAAAATTAAATTTAAACACACGTAAAAACATAGGTTATGCAATCAACTGCGTGTTCGCTAGTCCCATCGGACCTTTCTAAATTGATAATCGAACATTGACTTCCACCGGAAGAGTGAACGCAGGAAATCAACGTTAACCAAAATATGTAATTATTTCTAATACAGTCATGTTTAAATTATCGTGGGATCTGCCTTCTTAAAAATGAAATGTAAATTATCTGAACGAAATTCACATTAATTTAAAAAAATATTTTATACTTCAAATTTTTTAAATAATATTTTTAAAGATTTTTTTATTTTACTTAAAATAACTTATGTCTAATGTAAAAAATTTGTAAGTAAACTTATATTAGATAGAATAAACTTTAATATCATATTAAAAAATTAAGCTAAACTTATCATAAAAATCAACTCAAAAGAATAATTTTATAAAACAAAAATGTTTTGATCATAATTTTTTATTCCCATTACAAAACATTTTAACTAGAAAAATAAAAGGAGGAAGGGAATAAATTAAATAATTTTTTTGGTTTGATTAAAAGAGAAGAGATGTTTGAGAGAAGAATTTTAACTTTTATTTTTTCTCTGTTTTGAATTGTGAAGAAAGGGAATGAAAAATAAAAATATGTTATTAATTATTAAACCTTTAAGAAACAACATCACAACAAATAAGTTAAATTAAGAATTTAATTTTTTTCACACAAGAAAAACGTTAAAATTACAATACATCTTGTAGTTAAATTTTGATTTTGATTTATTAAATTTTATCATAACAATGCATTAACCCGGTACACTACCTTTATCGTTCCAAGATTTTCATTTTTCTGAGTTAAATAAAGGCATCTTTTCTCAAATTTTATATTTTCTAACAAATTCGATTTTTGAGTTACTTTTATAAATTCAAATTTAAAAGTTATATAAAATTAAATAAATTTTAGTTTAATTTAATTTAAATATAATATTGAAATTGAATTGCATATTAAAAATTCAATCATATATAAACAACACCTATGTGAATTAGAAAATAGTTTAACTAGAGACTATAAGAGTTGAGCCATTTAGCAAAACTAAATACGGATGTTCCGTGAATTGAAACCCTAAATAGCACAACGGTTGAAGATGTTCCATCAAGCTCCATTCATTTTTTTCTGTTTCTTCTTGTAGTTGCTATATTCAGAATCATTCAAATTTAAAGGAAACTATTTAGGGGAAACAAACAGAAACAAAGTGAACCAATTATTAAGTAGAAAGAATTTTTCCATCAATACTACAGCTTCAAGAAAGTTTATTTATTTATATTTGTAACTAATGCCTCAGCTCTGCTTTTGCTCTTTGCTTTCAAATGCCCTGCTTTTTCTATGCAATTTAAGAATGATTTACTTGGGTAAACTTTTTAATAAGTATTTATAAAAAATAAAAAATAGACTTAAAATAAATTAAATATCTCTTATAAGTTAAAATTAATTTATATTTTTATAATTTAGAAAAATTGTTTAATTACTTTAAAACTTAAGATCTATAAATTAATTTTAATTTATAAAAAATTTTATTTATATTATATCTTTATTTATTAAAAATATTAAAATAATATTATTTTATATCTTTTTGACGTGTGATAAATTATCATTTTATTATTTTTATTACTCAATTTTAATTTTTTTTAATAAAAAAAGATTAAAGTGATTTAAAGATACTAAAATTTAAATTTTAAAAAATTAACTTTAATCAAATTGTATATTACAAGAATTGAAGCAGAAAATTTAAGGTATGTATTTTCAGTTTTTTTTTTTTTTTAAAAAACTCTTTTAAAAATAGGAAACAAACATGCTCTACTCTTTATTTTTTATACTAATTTTTTAATACTAACTTTTTTTTTCTCTTATAACTTCATGTAAGTTTATCTAAACTGAGTTTAAATCTTTGCTTTCTTATCCAAAGACTATGAGACCCACAAGATACATGTAACTTTCTCATTTTTAACCACAAAAATATAAAGATAAGCATAGCACAAATCAGGAAAATAACCACAATTAGTCATGTCTTGCTCAAATTGATTATAAAATGATACCATAAAACCTAAATAACTATATTAAAATTTAATTTTACGTTTAACAATAAACTTAAGAATCAATAAATATTCACCCATACATTTATTATCTAAAATATTATGCAATTGTGGAAGAAAAATATTTAAAATAATTTTTTTATATACTATTAGTTTATTGATTAAAATTTATTAAAAATTATATATCTTATTAAAAGTATTAAAAGTATATTCTTTCATCTTAATAAAATAACTAACGAGATGGAATTATAAGGTCCATAAATTTTGTAATTTTTACAGTTTATTTTACAGAAAAATTACTATTCATTTTACATGTTTTAAAATGATCACTTATAAAATAAAATAATATTATTAAAGTAATTTTAGAGAACGATAAATGTGTAATTACTTTCGAAAAGTCTGATTTTAGACAAATTTTATGCAAAAAATTTACCATAACAACAACTCTCTCTAAGTTTAGCCCATTTCAGATAATAAGAAAGCATAAATTTGGCACAAAGCACAACAAAAACCACCAAAGTGGAGATTAATCAAGGAATCAAAAAGTGTGGCGCTATTATTTAAATGATCTTATCTTTCAGACATTCCGAAAATCTGTACACTAAAAAATTATCTACTATTCATCACAAATTAATCGTTAAATCAATTTGCATACTGGCAAGATATAATGTTTACCACGACAGAATTTATCAAGTGCATTAAGAATATGAATTTAATTAACATTAAGTGTAAAAATTATTTTATATTATTTTTAATTATAAATTATCATATTAACAATAATCATTGTTGTATTTAACGCATTAAAATTAAGCTCAAACTATCACAAACTTCATATTTTTCTGTTCTTACCAAAATAAAATACAATAAATGATTTTGTCATAAAGATTGTAAAATAATAAATAATAATAATAATAATAAAACATGTTAGTTAATGCTTTTAGGACATTAATTACAAAATTAAAAATACTTTTTTTGTCGCAAAAACCTAACAATTTACTTCTCATCACAATTTTTAATACCATCTCAATATAATTTTTAATGAAAATTTATTATTCATTAATTTTTAAAAAATTATTATCTTCCCCGTAAGGAACTGTATGGACTGTACATAGTAACGAAGCAAGAAGAGATAGAAGTAAAATTATTATTGTATATATATTTTTGTATAAAAAAAAAAAAAACTGCACAAACATAATTCGACAAAATTAAGGGTACCACCACCGTACAATGACGTCAACGATAAGTGAATTCAACGGTTGTGACTGAGCCTTCCGAAATCAGCAAGCTTCCGAGACCGGTTTGGGCAAAACGACGCCGCAGTGGATATATGGTGGGGCCCACCCACACCTATTTCCTGGGCCAATCCCTTATGGCTCCAATGCCGGTTCGGACTCGCCCGGACCAACGGACTCAAGCAGAAGGCCATGCTCGTTAAGCCTTTTCCGGCGGGACCTAACCGCGATCGCCGAGCCGCCGTCTCCGCCGCCGTCTGATTTTGCTTCCCCGGCGAAGATTCCGACGAACATCCCGAAGCAGATCGATCGCGTCCGTCGAGCTCGTCGGTAAAATTCTCCGTCACTGCCGGCGATAACCCTCGATCCATTTGCCGGCACCGCCTCCGATCATTCGCGCCGTGGTTGTGGCGACGCGCCGGGAGGATTGTGGAGAACCACGACGTCGTTGACGGAGGAGACACCGACGAAGTCGGTTCCTCGCACGATTCGCGAGACGAGGTTTCCATTTTGTTCGATCTGGCTCGGAACAGGTTCGAGATGATCCAGAATCTTCCTCCAAGCTTCCTCTTCGACGACGCCGTTCCGCCTCCGCACGCGGCGGCGTCAACCTGCGGCGTGTGGTAAAACAATTTCTCCCGGCGGCGGTCACAATCGGATTTCCGGCGAGAAACGTACGGCGAAACCGAGCGCGGGAAATTGAGCGGCGGAGGGTTGGGTTGGGGCTTTTTGTGACGGTGACGATCGGCATCGGAACCAGGGAAACGGGGTGGTTGGGCCTGGGCCTGGGCCGCGACGAGAGGAAGGAGGCGCTCACGTAGGCAAGAGGCGCAAACGCCGATGGTGCTGGTGAGGTCCGGTAAGTGTTTCTTACACCTCATTATCGCTTTTGTGCTTTAATCGAAATACGACAGCGTTTTCTTTTATATTGTGTGGAACTGCAAACCTTGTTGGTTATGGCTTTCTTCTTTTTTTCTTCCTTCGTTGTGCTGTTTTTACCAACTGAGTTAGGAGAGATCTGATGGAGAATTCAATGGGGAAAGCTTTGTCTTCTTCTTCCGAAAAGAAAGAGAGAGAAAACGGTTGCTTAGTGTGTTGGAGAGAGAGAGAGAGAAGAAGAGAGGGTCAAAGTTACTTACTTGGCTTGAGGGAAAAATTTGCACAACACAGCTTTGTTAACAAGTTGGATAAGGAAAGGGTTTGCTGGATTACAACACCTCTTTAGCTGCTTTTTTATTATTACCCATTAATTTGTAAAGCTTATTTTATTTATCAAAATAGCATTATTATAACTAAAAAACCGTACTAGCTAATTCTTGTTACTCATTAACATTTTACTTTTTTTAGTAATTAACATTTACATATTATAGATAATTTATTAAACATTTTAAGTATTTAAAAATTAAATATTAAATTTTTAGATTCTAATAGAAGAATAATTAATTTGTGAGCATAAATTGAGAAAGAAAAATGTTTAATGTATTAGTGATATTATATTAAGAATATTGAAAAAGTAATTAGTGGGGTGTTGACTTTTGATTAGATATTTAAGATAAGATAATTATAATGATTAAGTGATGCAATGTTTTGTCTTGGTGGGGTTTCTTGCTTTATGGGCAGATCATTATTGGTTCATTGAATGTCTGTGAACCTTTTTATCTGTTTTGTTTTATTTACTTTTTTAAATAAATATATTTTATTAGAAAGTCTGTTTCGAGATGACGTGGCCGTTTACTCGCGGAGTCGCTGAAGGTTAGCTGTGCCGTTCTCGGTAAATATTTTTAACTATTAAAAATTCCAAAATTTTTATTAAAAATCATAATATTTAATAGCATTAATATTTTGAATTGTATTAAATTCTTAATTTTTTTAATAAAAATTATTACACATAGTATTTTTTATTGTGTGTAATATTGTACAAATTCAAAAAAATATTAATAAAATATTTGTATTTATAATTAGAATTATAGATATATGTGGATTTAATTAAATGAATTATTTATTTATTAATGGAACAAATATTCGTAAGTATTTATACATGTAATTATTAAAATATTTTTATGTATATTAAAGTAAATATAATCTTTATTTAAATTAAAAAATATATATTAATTTTATTATTTTATGATAGTTTTAATATATACTTGACTTAATATATATAATTTTTTTAAAAACAACAATAAAATTTAAAATAAAAATAATTGCTGATAATGTATAAAAATCTATAATATTTTATTATAAAATCTATTTACTATAATGTTTAGAAGTTGTATGATCAGAGTTAAGAATTATTTAAATAATAAAAATATAATATATTTTTATAGGACCTACATAATAATTATAAATAAATTTTAAAAACTTAAAAAAAATACCATTAAAAATGCTCTAACTGCAATTAATATATGTGGACTGTTCCCATTCCACGCTTACCCTTAGCATCCCAACTTGCGGTGTAGGAGCTTCTGCATGCTTTGGCATAAGTGACACATTAATTTTTTCCAACGCTCTTTTTCTTTGATATTTTTCTCTAATTGGAAAGGAGGTTGTGTTTATTTTGTGCATCGAAAACCAAGCCTTGTTCACACTATCTTTTCTTCTTCTATTTTTCTTTTTCCTAATCATCCATTAATATAAATTTCAGTCCTTCAAGCATCACTTTCCTTAAAATAAGTGATATTAATTTAATCTCTTGGTCATAAAATAGACAAGATATCTTGTGGAAAAAATATTAGATAAAAGGATTAAAATGATATTCAGGATAAATTATACTAATCTATTTATTAAACTTTATTATGCTTTCGTCTATTTTAATATATTATATTTTCCTTTCTTAAAAGTTAATATACATTAAAATTTAACCCATTTTAATAAGAATAAGTTTCTTAAAGATGTATTTTTTTTATCTCTTAAAAAACACCAACTTTAAAACTTTAGAAAAAAAAACATTTTAGATGAAATTCCTAGTAGTACTTGTATTTAAAATATTATTTTATATTTTAAAATCCTAAAATCGATAAGAAAGCATTTAAAATTAGTTAACCAAACTAAAAATTGTCAAAAAAATAATAATCTTAAGATATTCATTTATGTTTATTATCACTATTAACATTTTTTTTATCTAAAATAAAATAAATTTTAAAAATTTTATCACAATAGAAGAGACAGTAACTTTCTAGAATTAAAAAAAATAATATAATTTAAAAAAATTATATTATATTGATGTGAGTATAACTCATTCTCATCCGTCCCATTTTTCTCATTGATATATCAAATTGAAGCCACTTTTCATCTTTTAAAAATTAAATTAATATCACTTATATTTTAATAATAAAATTACCATAAACCTAATATTTTAAAATCGAAATAATATTTTATTTATTCTTTTCATGAGAGTATGCAATGTTTTGAATAAATAAATTGTTTTTGCTAAAAATATTAATTCTATTAAAAAATCACTATTAATTTTCTTTTTCATTTGAACTATAATGAAAACATTATATTTTCTAACGAATTTTATTTCATCTTTCTCCTTTTATCTTTTGTCTAACTTTCTAGTACTCTTTCTTCTTCTTTTTTTACTTTTTTTTTTCTCATTCAAACTCTAATAAATATTCTTTTTTTTTTCTCATCTTCTTTTCTTTCACTTATACTTCTACAACCTATTCTTCCTTCAAACTTCTACAAAATTTTTATCTTTCCTTTTTTTTTTCTTTCATCTTCTACCCCTCTTTCACGCTTTTACAAATCATTTTTTTTTCCTTTAATATTGTTATTGTTACCATATTTCTCATCTTCTCCTGCGACTCCAAGTCACAATAGAGAAATTGAAAAAAAACAGAAAAAAAAAATGTTCTATCAAAGAAGAGAAAGAAGAAGATAAAGAAAAGGATGAAGAGAGAGAAAAATGAATCATGAAAGTACAGATAATGATATAAAAAAGAAAAAGAAAAAATATTATAAAAAATTCTTTTAAATATATTGTATATTTATTGAATTTTGCAAGGAGTAAGATAAACAATAATTTTTTTTAATAAGGTTAACATTTGTTTTTGACAAAATAAGACTTTTTTGAGACATTACTATAAGTTAAGGAATTGAAATGAGAAAAAAAAAATAGAGGATCAAACTAAAACAAAATCAAGAATTAAGAAACTAATATACTAATTTAGTCTATTATATACAATTTATTATATTATATAATATTTCACAAAATAAAAAAAAAATCATTGTAGATTTATTAATCTCTTTTTTATATGTAAAAAAATATTATAATACTAAAATATGGGATATTTGAAAAAAAATTATAGAAATATAAAGTTATTTAAAAAAAATTACTAAAGGTGATTTTTGGTATTTTAATTAATATTTTTTAAATATTTTCTGAAACTTCAATTTTTTAATTATTTCATCTTTAAATCTTTTCACCTTTGAGTTTCCATATTTTCATAATTTTTTTAAAAAAATTATATTTTAGTATATATTATTTTTAAATACCATATAGAAATAAAAAAAAAAATCCGATTTATCAACCTATTTGGTTGGTTTGCAATAACTCATAATAAATATTGCAATTTCCATTAAAAAAATATGTTTAAAGTTGAAACTTCTCTACCATTTATGGGATGTTAAAATATTTATATTTTTTTTTACTAACCATCTCTATTCCTTGCTTTGTTGGCAATCTCACAATGCTATTGTACGCGCTTGATGGATTAAAAAAATCTGTTGTTTTGTTATCAGTAAATGATAATTCACCTTTATATATTAAATATTTTTTTTTTAGTTGAGAATATTTTTAAAGATTATTTTAAATAATAATATTTTTAGAATTTTTTTATCATATTACGGAACTGTTTTTGTATTAATATTTAATTTATAAAATAATTTACTCTTTAAATTTATAAAATTTAAAAATTTATTTTTATTTTTTATTCAAAGATTTTATTTAAATTTAAAAATATCTATAGAGCACACGTAAAAGTACTAGTTATATTTATATGTTTAATGTAGAAGATATCAGTGAATTCAATTCGTAATATTATGATTTTCAAACACACTATTGATTTTGTTTTACTTATAAACGACAACAGCATGATATGTATAAGATACCTAAATTCAAGACTTGTTAATTGTTATGTTGTGTGTGACAAAGAATATGCTGAAAAAATAATGTCAATAGACCAAAGGAAACTTGTACTGTAAACTTATCTACCTAAGTGGTTGCTTTGCAGTAACTCAATAAATTTTGCAACTTCCAAAATGTGCACATTTTTTTAATGGTACCTATAATATTTGGTTCTTTTAATTTTAATTAATTATATTTAATCTTTCTAATTTTTCAAATATTTAAATTAAATCTTTCACTCTAATATTAAAATTATGTTTGAATAAAGTAATTTAAAATTATTGCATCACATGTATTTATATAATAAAAAAGTAATTTTAAAATAATTTAAATTTTTATTAAATAAATTTTAGGTCAAATAAATTTTTTAAATGACTTATCTTTAGAGAATTTAAATATTTCTTTATTTTTTAATTTTTTACATTAAATATTTATAATTCTTCTCATGCTTTGCTCTTACTTTTAGCTTCCTTTATTGCTTATTTCATATTTTCAAGAGTTTTATTATAATAAAATGTTGTATTTTTATTATATTTTATTAATTATTAAATAAAATTTTAAATAAAACACTTAAACTAAACATTTAAAAAAATAAGGAAACTAAATATAAATAATTAAAATTTTAAAATTAAAATTCTATATATAAAAATATAGAAAGCAAACTGCAATTAATGTTTTTCTTAATAAACAAAAATGCAGCACACGTGAAACTTTCTTTCCATTAATGTGATGTTAAAGTTATTCTCTCTAACTAAA